GACATCAAGATTATGTTTCTATGTTGAATATTAACTGAAAATGAAGGATAATGGATTTGAATGGTGGCCATCTTGGAAAATGGCCGCCATTGTTGCCATGGGACAAATATGCGATGGCCCTATAGCCAAAAATCTTCCTTAGGGCATGCTCTAACAGTGTGCCAAAACTCATGCTTGTATCATAAAAATCACAATTCATTCACAAATCTGCCGGGCTATCTAGGCCGGTGCAAAAAAATCGGAATTTTGTGCCCTGGACTGCCGACGACGAGATGCAACAACGATAAAACACCGGCAGCTTCGCGATGCAACGACTGAAGCCATGCAAAAAAAGAAGCCCTGCTGCACCGCATCCCGCCCCGCCGTGTCACGGCGTCTCGCACGGCCTCCTCCTCCTCCTCCTCCACCTCCTTATCTTCCCGCGCATTTCTACCGCTGAATTATTTAGGCCGTGGCGATGGCACTACCTTTGCTGGCATGATTGCTCGCGACGCACGCACGCACGCACTCACGTACGCACGCACACACTCACTCACGCACGCACGCACGCACGCACATACACACGCGATTCCCGGTTCGCCCCCCCCCCATACGAGCACATTAGGTCGGTTTTACTTACTTTGTTTCGTTCGTGCACTTATTTTTTGTGGGGGGGTCGCGTTTTTTTGAGGGGTAGAAGGATGAGAATGAATGAGAAGGGGGAGGAGGAAGAGGAGGAGGAAGAAGAGGAGGAAGAGGGGAAGGAGGAGGAGGTAGAACAGCCAAACGACTGCGAATCACCCCAACATGTTTAACAGCGAGTTCCTCCCTTCGTGGTCAACAGCAACAGGGAAGAGGAAGCTAGTTCAGCTTCAGAAAGAAACTCGGCGAAGTTTCTGCGGAAGACCATCGACAACCTTCCTCCTCCTCCTCTATACCTTCCTTTCTACCTGCTCGCATCCTCCCAGCTTCCGCATTGAACATACTTGACTTCTACATGTATTCGACAAACATGTGAAGCTTTTTTTGTAAGCGAAACAACGTCACAGCTTCGCTGAATTCCTGCCACCTGCTGAGAGGAACTGTGAGGCTCGAGAACGAGAGGCGGAGAAGAAGCCCTACGACGTCTTCATTAACGGCTCTCTGACGTCACTATGACGGCTCTCTGACGACACTATGACGGCCGCAACCGACGGGTGCGCTCTCTCTCTCTCTTTCTCTCTTCCCTCTCTCTCTTTCTCTCTTCCCTCTCTCTCTTTCTCTCTTCCCTCTCTCTCTCTCTCTCTCATTCTCTCTCTGTCTCTCTCTCTCTCTTCCTCTCTCTCTCTCTCTCTCTCTCTCTCTCTTCCTCTCTCACTCTCTCCCTATCTCTCGCTCTTCCTCCCTTCCCCCTCTCACAGTGTTCCCGGAACTTTGTCCTGGCAGCAGCCCAGCGCATGCGCTGTTATGACCCCGTGCAAGCAGTGCAATCAGCTTTATTCGCGACCATGAGAAATAAAACACACAAGAGGCAGGCAGCTGAGGGTCCTGGGAACGCACTACACGTGCGATAAACACAAACGTGAACACACACACAAACACACGGGCTCACCTTGTTTCCGCCAGCAGCAGCAGCAGCAGCAGCAGCAGCAGCAGCAGCAGCAGTATAGCAGTGAGAGAGAAAACGAGAGGGAGAGCAATTGAGCTCAGAAGTTAAACATCCCGCAATTACGGCAAAATAATTTATGATTATATAAATTTTAATTATCGTGGTAATATTAATAATATATTAGTATACTATCAGTTATAACTGCCAGCGTGTAAGAGCAGTAGGTGAGTGTGTGCATGCAAGAATGATAATTGCTAATTTTTTGAAATGTCACTTATCAGTCTTCGCGCCTTATACTGCATGTGAAGTATGCGGAACGCACACGTAGTGACGTACATTCAAGTATGTCTAGACGTTGGCTTTTTAATCGCGTAAATTGGAAGCCTAGTCCAAATTCCTTGTCTCAACACGAGAGCTGTTCTGGACAGGTCAACAAGAACAAATGTAAATAACACGGCAGACGCACAGCGCCACAATTAAAACAATATTTGTTTGCCCTCACCCGACCCAGGCTGAAAAGTTAGGGTAGGTAGGTAGGCTTCTTTTTTCCAAATTCAGCATGGTGTCTATACAGGCTCGGGTGTGCTTGTGTGGAGACACCTTTTATGTTGAATGTTTGTTTTGCTTGGTACATATGTATTGCCTACAGATTTATATAATGTGTAGCGATACAATTTGTAAAAAAAAAAAAGAATGGGAAAGGTCAATACAATTTTTTGAGTCGTTCCCTTTTTGGCGGGTCGGTCGGGTGAGGGCAAACAAACAATATTTTTATTATGGCCCAGCTTACCAGAACGGACACCCGTCTCTTCCTGCACCTCTCTCACAGACGGCCAACAGGGGCGTGGCACCAGGTCACCAGACACCAGGCCACCAGGCACCTAATCTGTGTACATACCGAGTGCTTATCCTTCATAATCAGTAGCTCTCTTGTCTTTTCATTCAGAACACAGCCTAAAAATACAAATTGTCAATCGACTAGTTTATCCGTTTTCATATGATAGGATGACGTGACATATGCTATAACTGCAAAAATAGATTAACTAGCGATTTTAGTACTTCTAGGTTATTTTATTTTAATAACAGACAAGCCACAAACACAAGTGAATACCCAAGGTTAGCATTTAAGGCTGAAATAAGAAATACATCACGAATGAATGAAGCTGTCATATTTTAACGCCACTAACTTGAAATATAAAATAATTTAGAAGATGGTGGGTGAGCATTTGTATTTATATATTTAAAAAAATCAAATTACACAAAGAACAAATTTACGTGCTCGATGCTTGTCTACCACTACACTAAGATATTCATATTCATATCAGGGTTCTCCTCAGGAATTTCAGAAGGCATGTTAGGCAATCAGGCAATGCACCTGCAACTGCTAATTAGAGTCAATTATGCATGACATAAACGACCCCAATGCACAAATAAATCTGATCAGTTTGGAGATGCATACATCAAACTGTAAAAACACAGAGCATGACTGTGTCACGATTGTCAAAAGTAAAAAAAACAGCAGAAAATTAATGCACATCGATTAGGCAATTAAGAAATGTCGAGAAAATTACGAGATGTCACAAATTAGTTTAAACTTTGAAGGCATGTCAGACCCGACACGAAGAAAGATCTGGGGAGAACCCTGCATATGTATACAGGTTTGAATGTATTACCTGCCACCCCAACCTGATGAGTGGCATAGATCGGTAAGGTGCTGGAAACGTCCACAGGCAACCACTGGCAAAGCATTGCCGTTTTCTCCTCAGCATGGTGGAATTGAAACCCTTGCAATGCTGCTGCAGAGATGAATTTGCCTAGGTGTATTGGCACTGTCAACCAGACACCTTTTCCGCCATCTGCTCTCCATTTCTCCAAGGAACCTAGAATTGTAATTTAGATGTTATGCATTTTATTTACAATGGATATTTTCCTCTTTAATATCTATAATACCAGTCTCAATTACACACATCCAATATTGCATACAAAAACGGACCATCTTCACTATAACATACACATATAAATAAACATCATTAATTATTGTTAAATGTTGTTTAGAGTAGATTGTCAATGCATTCCTGATTATATCCTGCTGAAGCCTCTACACTGTCTGCATATTGAATTCGCAGCAATGTCATATATGCACAATTTGTTTCAGTAAATTGTGTGCACGTGAAGACCTACTCATGCCACCTATAGCATTTTTTTATTACATGTGTAATCACAGATTCTCTCAATGGGGTATATACATACATGTTTATACATATATAATGCATCATTCTCTAAAACGTTTTTTGGTATGAAATGGACAATATGTACTGAACAAAATCAAATTCACATGCTCACACATATATGCCTACACAGCAACATACACACATGCATCTATATGCTCATGGCCATACACACACATGTCTTCTTCATCCTCAACAACACCTAATAGCAGTTTGTTTGGCTATGATATACTAACAAGTACTACCAAAACAGAGATAAGACTATCTTACAATGTAGAGTGCCTGTGATTCGCCCCATAGATTGACTTTGTGTAATAAAGGAATTCAAGAACAATAATACTATCTTCAACTTTTTAGACAATGTAAATTAAACAAAATGTTCGTACAATATAAATACCTTGCAGCATATGAGAGAATTCCATTATATCTATCAACTTTGCCGTCGATTATGTCACTATTAACAACACGTCCACAGCTGTTGCCATTACTTCTGCATAGATGCGTGCGTGTGCTCCTAAAGAAGGAAATTATTCACATTATTGACCCTATTTTCATAATAATAGACAATGATGACGTCATGTCACGGTTCCATAGTTATCATAGACAAGTAAATTTATAAGTATCTATATATGTAAATTTATATGAAAGAACTCATAACTGGACTTGTGTAACACCTCTGTGTAACATTCATGGTCAATAGTCTTTTCATGGTCAATGGCTTCTTGTGGCAGTTTTTTTCAAAGGAACTACTTTTAGTGACAAAAAACTCCTTCTTCACACTTGCGTGGCCTGATATTGTACTCTAATTTTGAGGTAGCAGGTTTTCTTATACATAGGAGGCACAGTGGCGCACCGCCGATGTCAAATTTAACATCGCTGTTGTGAAAATGTAGTCAAATGCAGTCTAAGACATTCAAATTTTTAAAATTTTGCTGGGGGAGACCCCCTAGAACCACCCCTCAGCGAGTTCCTCTGCTCCCTCTCTCCCGCCGTCTGCTTGCAGCGTCCGCATGCGTGACTACGGCACACTTTTGAATTCATCATGTGTGTTTTTTTCCCAAACTGGCGATTACCTCATTTGTCTAATTTTCCCTCAGAAGTAACCCTGGGTAGCCCAGTCAACCTCTAGAGCTGTTTAACTTCGGCCTGATACTCTTCGATATACGAAAAAACGTTGCTTGAAAGGAAACTGGAAATTTTGTAAATAAAACGATCGTATTGCTGTGCATTTGATCCGACTTGATACGTGTTGCAAGTGTACTCACACTCAGCAACACATTTCTTTATCCGAATTAATAATCATTGATTGGAATTAAATTGTTATAATGAGAAAATTATGAAAGAAGTTATTATTGAAAGTTAGTAAACTCCATTCTTTGCGTGACTTCGCATAAGCAAGAACTACCTGAGACCCCCATGAGTGTGTGCTCAACGGTGTAACAAATTGCTGTTATCAGTCCTCTTAGCCCGGCAGATATGTGCAATATTTGAGGGAATTGTGATTTTTATGATACAAGCATGAGCTTTGGCACACTGTTAGAGCGTGCCCTAAGGAAGATTTTTGGCTATAGGGCCATCGCATATTTGTCCCATGGCAACAATGGCGGCCATTTTCCAAGATGGCCACCATTCAAATCCATTATCCTTACACGCGCGCGCACATACACACACATATACACACACATATCGTTATAAACACATTTTATCAATGGTTACCGTTTAAATAAGCGCTAAGCCACTGGGTAACAACTCGACGTTATTTTATTAATTCACATAGGAAAATCACTTAGTACGCTAACTAACAGTTGTGCGTGTATTGTTTCACAATTATTTTCCACTCGCACTGCAGTACACGGGGATGTAAAAATTGTTCGATTAAATGACTGTCGCGAGATTTTTGCCGAGCTTATAACGCGGCAACTTTGAGCAATATGGTCTGGTGGCACAGACAGTCACATCTTCTGCTGTCCCAAAGGTGGCCACATCCATGTAAATTCGTGTGCACAACACACGCGCCCGCGAAAACCTCTATAGAAGGAACACCTGTCTATAACGGACACCTGTCTATGAAGGACAACCTCTATAGAACGGACACCTGTCTATAAAGGACACCTGTTGAAGGTTTTTCTCGACTGATCAGCCCTTAAACACAAGTTTGATTACACAACGTATACCCTCCCTCATCAGGAACCCGACGCGGTGACTGCAGGGCGCGAAATTAGCACCGGCCCACCGGCATATTATTTGGAGGGCCGGTAACATTGGCAAAACACCGGCTCGGTGGATTCAGCCGTGTTAGCGAGTACCTACATTTTTATTTATAGCATTAATGAGCAAATTGCCTATATTCCTGTTTTACCTGAAGGAAAGCATGCTATAATTTATCAACATTTTACAAATTTGAAATCGATAATGCAAGCGTGAAACATTACATTAATTTTTAAACAAAATTTGTGAGGGCTGGTAAATTATGGTGAGGGCTGGGAACAAATTGTTGTTATCAGCCCTCTGGGCCGGTGCAAAAAAATCTGAATTTTGTACCCTGGACTGCCGACGACGAGATGCAACAACGATAAAACACCGGCAGCTTCGCGATGCGACGACTGAGGCCATGCAAAAAAAGAAGCCATGCTGCACCGCATCCCGCCCCGCCGTGTCACGGCGTCTCGCACGGCAGCGGCCGGTGGAAGAGCTTGTAGCTTTTCGCTCGCGCCTGCGGCTGTGCATACTCGAGCTCGTGTGACGTCACGTCGACAGCGCTGAAGCCACGCTCGAGGCCATGCATGAGAAGCCGACCGACGCTGCGCCCGAACGCAGTCGTCTGCTCGTGAACGACAAACTCGTCGACGCGCATCCACGCGCAGAACGCGACCTCGTGCTTGCACGGCGCGAGGTCAAAGGTCAGCGGCGAGAGGCGGCATACGGCGTAGATGTCCGATCGGCAGAACGCGTTCGGGTGGTTGTGAAGCTGGCGAAAGGCAATCACCGACTTAAAATCTGGTGGGAGGAGTTGTTATTACGAGTCGTTATTATTATAATAATTTAAATAATTTTAAATTAATCAATATTTTTATCGTAAAGTCAACCATGTTTGTGCTTGAAACTCCGAGGCTTGACTTTGCAGTGTCATACAGATTAGTGTTCTATTGTCTCTGGTTGCGCTCTGCCAACTATTGCCATTTCAGCTAATCTATGGGCCAGAGATGGCGCCCTTGACGGCGAAACGCACGTATTCTGTTAGAGCGCGCGACCGCCCGATTTTAACAAAGGTGCGGGTTCTTTGACTTTTCATGCCCCCTGATGCGCCTCGCTTTGAAAAGTTTGCTGCCCAGCCACTGGCCTAGTTATAGAACTAGAGTTGTAAAGCTGAATGCTGCAGTCAGCAATCACATTACAATGACTTATCAACTTCTTGTACTTTCCAAATCATCTTTGATTATATGATCGTATGTAGTTACGCTTTGATTATCGTGGTGTTTATGATTGTTAATGCAGTTTGCAATGGTATACGTACTAATAGAATTATTCCTGCACATATCCACTTCTTTATTTATCTAATATAATTATTTTATGACGTGGGACGAGTATCGTATTGTTATGTTCGCCTGAGTGTTGACATGAACACTCGTAAGGACCTAAATGTTAATTTGAAAGCATACATATAGTATGACTCGATTTTCCACTAACCTGCTCCTCCTCCCCTCTCTCCTCTCTCTCCCCTCTCTCTCGTCTCACATCGAGGCCAGAGGTTGCTGTTAGTAGAGGTACAAAACCATTCGTGATCACGAGGAATCGTGGCTTTAGGTTGTGGTGTATGGAGAGGAAAGAGCGAGAAAGAGAGCGCGGCTGCGAGGGAAAGAGAGAGAGAGCGTGGAGAGAGAGGGAGACCGTGAGAGCTGCTGGCTGCTGCTGAGGCGATGTGCGTATTTTGCCGTAATTTGCGGGACGTTTAAACTTGCTGAGCTCATTGCTCTCCTTCTTTTTCTCTCTCACTGCTATAAACTGCGCTGGCTCGCTGCTGGCGGAAACTGAAGTGAGCGCGTGGTGTTTATCGGCACGTGTAGTGCGTTCCCAGGACCCCGTAGCTGCCTGCCTTTGTGTGTTTTACTTTCTCATGGTCGCGAATGAAAGCTGATGCACTGCTTGCACGGGGTCATCACAGCAGGCATGCGCTGGGCTTGCTGCCAGGAACAAAAGTTCGCGGAACACTGCGAGAGGGGGGAGAGAGGGAGGAAGAGCGAGAGAGTAAGAGAGATAGGAGAGAAGAGAGAAGAGAAAGAGAGTGAGAGAGACAGAGAGAGAGAGTGTGAGAGAGAGTAGCGCGCGGCCTGTCGTTCGGCCGTCATAGTGACGTCAGAGGCCGCCATAGCGACAGTGACAGTCAGACAGCCGTTAATCAAGATGTCGTAAGGGCTTCTTCTGCGTTCTCTCGTGCCTCACCAGTTCCTTGCCAGCAGGGGGGGGTGGCGGAATTGCAGCGAAACTGTGAGGTTGTTTGCTGCTACAAGAGAAAGCGTTCACATGTTTGCGAATACATGTAAAAGTCAAGTATTTCAATATGCGGAAGCTGGCCGGATGCAAGCAGTTGATAGGAAGGATGAACGAGAAAGGAAGGTATAGCAGAGGAGGATGGAGGAAGGTTGCGATGGTCCTTCTGCAGAAACTTCGCACGAGTTTCTTTCTGAACGCTGAACTAGCTTTTTCTTCCTGTTCTGTGCTGTTGACCACGAAGGGAGGAACTCGCTGTTAAACATTGTTTGGGGTGATTCGGCAGTCGTTTGGCTGTTCCTACCTCCTCCTCCTTCCCTGCATCCTCTGCCTTCTCGCTCCCCTCGCTTCTCCTCTGCCCCTCCTCATTCATTCTCATCCTTCTAACCCCTCTCTCAAAAGACGCGACCGTCCCACAAAAAATAAGTTCCACGTGGAACGAGACAAGAGTAAGTAAAACCGACCCGTACATGTGCTGCGTATAGGGGGCGGGACGCGGAATGGCGGTGTATGTGCGGTATTTGAAGCACTTTTAATGTACAGTCTTCATTCGCACTACGACAATTGCTGCTTTTAGTGAGAACAGAATTTTTTTTTTTTTTATGGCTCCGGCAAATCTAGGGGGCAGGCTGCCGCTTTGCCCTTCCCCCGCCCCCGCCCGCAGGCAGATACAGCGCCCTGATCATTACACTGGCATCCACAATGTAACTTATAAGTGAATAGATGCAGGCTAGCGATCCTAATGCGCGCTAACGGAAATGATAGAGATGAACTTGCTGTGTAGCGTGTACTAGATGGAAACTAATAGGTTCTATCAGCAGGTATGAGCTTGAAGATGGGATAGCTCACCCGAGTTATATAGATATTCCTGTCTCATAGAGCGAGCGTCAGGCGAGTAATGAGGGTGAAATATGCCCATCTGCAAGGGCCCAATCAGTGTGATAGAACCATTTTCTCCCTATTTTATTTAATTCTATTTTTTTTTACTTTTATATCTGGCAGAAAGAACATTATTTAGTTCAAATAAGTAATTCAATATTTTGCAAAATTTTTGAAATATTTATTAATATATTTTTTCTATTTTATTTTTTTATTTTTTTATTTTTATTAATTAATTTATGAGTATTGATTGGCCCAAAAACTGTAAAGGTGACCTTTGACCTCGTATCTTAACGGAAAATCATTGGATTTAAAATAGAGTGCGGATAAAACGCCATCTGCGGTGGTCTGCAAGTTATCCCGAGGAATTTATCTCGCGGGCTATCTCGGGGATATCTCATACCTAGTATGCGAGAAATACTAATGTCGTCCTCTGCCATTGCTGTTATGTCAAGATAAGTGTGATGTAATGTTGGCGTATCTAACGAGTACTGATCTGCTTCGGTTCCCGCGCGCCTGCACTCGACCGTAAGCTATGGCGACCTCGTGAGCAGTAAATCACTATTATCTCCTCTCGTCATCTCTCTCTCTCTCTCTCTCATCCTCTCTGCTCTCTGCTCTCGCTCTCTCTCTCTCTCTCTCTCATCTCTCTCTCGATCTCGTCTCTGCTCTCATCCTCGCCTCTTATCCTCTCTTCTCTCCTTCTCGTCTCTCTCTGCTCCCTCTCGTCTCTGTCCTCTGTCTGTCCTCTGTCTTCCTCTGTCTTCCTGTCTCTTGTCTGTCTCTGTCTCTCTGTTCTGTCTTCTGTCCCTCCTGTCTCTGTCCTCTGTCCTCTGTCTCTGTCTCTGTCTCTGTCTGCTGTCGTCTGTCCTCTGTCTCTGTCTCTGGTCTCTGTCTCTGTCCTACGTGTCTCCTCTCTCTC